GGATATATTCTCCCGCACCAAACTGGCAGAGAAGCCGATGGGAGGGGCCAAAACCGAGTTACCCAATCCCGATGGCATTGCCGACATACTTGAAAGAGCAAAAGCAGATGCTGCGGACTCAACAGTTTCAGAGCGCAGACGTGGCCACGGGAAGTTCACCCTCACCCGGGGCGAGAAGAACACGGACGCGGAACTTAGCCACAGCCAAGCAACAAAAGACCCCTCCAAGCTCCTCCAGCAAACAACCAGCGAGTACGAAGGCGTCGGCAGCGAGTTACCGGATCCTCCCGATTGGGTGAAGAAGAACATCAAGTACGCCTGCGAGAGGAGCACACCTGCAAACCCACCGAACGAAAACTTCATCGAACAGCTCAAAAAGATCAGACTGGCCCGACTCCTCACGGGCGACGAGATAGGCGTCCGTGCGTACAGCACCTCCATCGCCGCCATCGCAGCATATCCGTACCATCTCACCAGCCCGAAGGAGATTCTGTCCCTCCCCGGCTGCGATGTCAAAATCGCCAACCTCTGGATAGAGTGGAAGAACAACGACGGCGTCATCAGAGTCGTCGAAGAAGCCGAATCAGACGAGGACATGAAAGTCCTCCGCCTCTTCTACGACATCTGGGGCGTCGGCGCGACCACCGCCCGCGAGTTCTGCTACGAAAGAGGTTGGAGGGACTTAGACGACATCGTCGAATACGGCTGGCCGACCCTAACCCGCGTCCAGCAAATCGGGGTAAAATACCACTCCGAATTCCAGACCAAAATCCCGCGCCCGGAAGTCTCCTCCATCGCCGCCACCATCCACGCCCACGCCACCAAAGTCCGCGACTCGGGCATCGAAACCATCATCGTAGGTGGCTACCGCCGCGGCAAACAGGCATCCGGCGACGTCGACGTCGTCGTCTCCCACCGCGACCTCGCCGCCACAGCCAACCTCGTCACCGACATCGTCGCCAGCCTCGAAGCAGAGGACTGGATCACGCACACGCTTCTCCTCGGCCTGACAGGCACCGAGCGCGGGCAATCGACGCTCCCCTTCCGCTCCAGCAGCGGCGGCCACGGCTTCGACACCCTCGACAAGGCCCTCGTCGTCTGGCAGGATCCTAACTGGCCCACCAAAACCGCGGATCTGGCCGCCAACCCGAAAGCGAAAAACCCGAATGTTCATCGCAGAGTCGACATCATCGTGTCTCCGTGGCGGACGGTGGGGTGCGCGGTTGTGGGGTGGAGCGGGGGAACAACGTTTCAGAGGGATTTGAGAAGGTTCGCGAAGAATGTTCGGGGCTGGAAGTTTGATAGTAGTGGGGTTAGGGATCGGGGGAGTGGGAAGGTGGTCGAGTTTGAAGGGAGGGAGGGGGTCGATGGGGGGTGGGAGGATGCGGAGAGGAAGGTTTTTGAGGGGTTTGGGTTGGTGTGGAGGGCGCCGGCGGAGAGGTGCACTGAGTGATTGGGAATTGTTTTGGTGTTTGGTCGTGAGATCGAACTGGAATATTTTGGTTTCCGGAAGGACTTTGGAAGAAGGGTTTTGGGCGAGGGGCACCAAATGATGGACCTTCTCCTGGGCTTCCCCGATGCTCGACTTCACTCTATTCCCGTGTCATATCAGCACTCACTTGGAAAAAAACCTACGGCAAAGCAGTGAGAGGTTCCGCGCTTGCATCGATGAACCAAATCAGCAAATCTTGAGCATCCCGACAAGCATGTGGAGCAAATCTCCCGGTACACTGCGGTACGTACACCCAGTGATCGAGGTGGACTCAGCCATGTTGGAGTCGCTCTTCCGCATTTCACGGGGATCCTGCGGCGGATACACTGAGAGATGGAGACTGATGCCACGCTCCCACCGACTGACCAAATCAGCAAATCTCACTACGACATACAGTAATACGCGCAAAGTTTGAGCGGAATCCTTAGGCGTGCGATATGGCGTTATCGCTCAGACTGTGCGGAGGTGGCAGAAACAGCTCATCAACCGAAAACAACAACCAAGTCCAAGGCCTGCCTGCATGGAATAACTCTCCATCGATCCGCCCGGAAGACTCAACTTACTACATCTACTGGACCAAACTAACTTACCTGAAGGGGTAAAATGACCTGAGTCGTACAGCAGAAGCGTTGGCAGCGAGGAGTTGAAGTAGACCAAGACGGCCGCTGTATGGATGGAGATGCCTGGGCATAATAGCATCGCTGTGTCTGGGTAATCGGTTGTTGAACTCCGTCGTGCTGGGGATAGGACCTTGCAATTATTGCCCTTCAACGACGAATGCCTGGTGAGCGCATGACATCAGCATGCGTCGAATACGTTGCAAGACTTTCAGTGAACAGCATCCGCTTCACTACACTTTCTGGCAAGTTTTGAGCCACTATGTCATCTTGCAGTCGCTACTCAGCCCCGAGTGCACAGCCGTGGGCAAGGATGCCAGAATCCCTGTCTCTACCTAGTGGCGCAAGTAGCAACGAGCTGACAGCACTGCCTCGAACCGCGCACGGTATCTGTCATACCCAGCTTCGAACACCTCGCTCCAACATCACCTAACAAAAACTGGGACTCCGCTTCCAAGAACTTGAAACTTATCTGCGCGTGTACGAAAGGGTACAGAAGTCTTCACGCAGTCGAGAGCTCAGAGGTGAGGATTCGAGTCACGTTGCTCTGCTCTGCTCGCAAGGCTGACAGGCACCAGGAGATGTCTGATGTTGAGTTGGGCGAGAGGTGCCGTACCGGTAGCGTCAGGAAACGCAGCAGCAGGAAACTCAAGACCGCTTCTACGCTGAATGAGCGCCATGTACCAGTCGTGGACACTGATAGAGTGAGATTCTGTATTGTGAAGATACTTTACTACACATGACTAATCATACTCTGCCTTAGGGCTCGTCCAGTCTATGGGACGATTGTGAGCAAGAATACATATATTTCTCAAATATTTTAGATTTCGGAGAGGATTGGAAGCTTATCATAGAAAATGGACTTCCGGTAAGCGTCAAGCGCTCGGGTTCTTACAAGGAGTTGTACACCTCCAGGATCCCCCTGATGCTGACTTGAGCAGAAAGAGAATATGGTCACCCGTCCGGAACCAACTGCCCAATTGTGAAAGTGGAGAATAGCCTCAGGACAAGAAGACGCAGACGGAGAGCCCGATAAGAGGATTCTTAAATCCCAAGTACGCAATCAGACACGTCTCGATCTCAAGTCTCTCGGCTGACGAAAAAGGCTCCGACGACAGAGCAATTTTTGCGAAGAAGCGAACCGGGTCACGAACGTCCCCAATTGCATAGCGAACATTCTGTTTCCATTACAAGCGGCGAGATGAATGCACAAAGCTCATCGTACCAGCCGCGTCTCAAGCACGCTCGCTCGCGGCGAGCCTTCAACATTAAAGACAGCGACGATGATGCTGTTGCTCCTCAAGAATCTGATATCAGTCGAATTCGGCACCCATATCCGGTCTACACAGACATCGAGCGCGAAGAGGCATCAGAAAAACCGGGAATGCCTATCACTCTGGTTCCAGATGACGGCAAGCGAACACCGATATCTATGTCACCTCTGGGGCGGAAGTATAGTACAGCCAGACCGCAGAACCTTTATGTTGATGATGGTGTTTCCGGTCCAGTGTACATAGAAGAAGGGGATGTTCACATGTATGAAGGGCCACTGTTTCTGGATTCACTCTCAAATCCATCTGATCCGGGACCAGACTCGGAGACTGACCTCCAAGGAAGCAACGTACAACCACACGCCAACAGTCGAAATCGTGGAATAGACTACTCTTCCTTCCCAAAGATAGATGGCGCCAAAACATTAGTTCCAGCAGTGAGATTGATACCACCAGGACTAGAGCAGAGCGAACGGCCACTGGGGAGAGAACGAGATTTACTCAATTCCCAGATCAACCAAACCACGCAGACCAATCTGGGAAACTTCGATGCTACCTCGCAAGCGAATATCGCTGCATCATCTCTCGCAGAAGCCTACTCATACCAAACGCGTGTCACATCTTTCCCACCTGCTGGAAGAGCCAGATTCTCAACTCTCAGCACATGCAAAGTAATCTTCTTCTTCGTTCTCCTAACAGTCTTCGGCAGCACCGCTGGCGGTATCACTATTTCTGTCACTTCCGAGGACATTGGCGACGCCTTCACCTTCGCCTCCTGGGTCGTCGCTCTCGGAGCTTTTATCCTCGGCCCCTCAATCGCATATCACTACCCGCACTGCTCATGCTGGCACGATAAAACCGTGATTCACGGACGCTTCTGTTGGCTGCTGATCGGCTGCAGTGTCTTGGTTGTCGGTATCAGCACCGTTTTTGGAGTCTGTTTTGCTGTCGCGAGACATGAGATTGGGAATGGATTTACTGTGGCCTCTTGGCTGATTGGAGTTGGTGCTTTATGTCTGTCTGGGCCGATGGCGTGGCATTATCGCCATTGCCGGTGTTGGAAGCCGAAAACTTTCATTCTTTGATCGATTGAAGGCATTTCCACGCCATGATGGCTCCACATTTTCATTTCGTCTCTGAACCTTCCATGATGTTAAAAGCGCATTTCACAGACCCACAGACTCCCCTTCTATCAGTCATGCCGTCAATTCTCCATTTCTTCCTAATTCCAATCCTCCTTTTCGCCGTTCAAGTTGTGGAAAGAAGCGATCCCACTTGCTTCCGTAGTTGGGACAATCCAATAATCTGGGAACACACCATTGCGAAAGAGCCATCGACAGGCAAAAGCCCCGAAACTTCCTCGGTTGCATGGTCTATTATCAAAAATCATCCCAGAGAAAATTCCAAGGCCCCTCCACAGTAAACGAACGAACGCTCGAATGCACCGGAAGCACAAAAGCATCAGAACACCACATCCCTATCACGGTACCACATCCCATACTCCCATACAAATCTATCCCCCCTCCCCTTCCCATTCACTCCTCCCTTTCCCATCCTCCCCTTCCCATCCTCCGCCACACTACATATCCCTCACCCACCACAAAACAAAGTATTACGTAAGCCCGCATGGCTTAGTGGTACAGCGTCTCACTCGTACACCTCCCTCCCTCCCTCAACGGGCCGCGAAGGACAAGACACGGCAATGAGAAGATCCTCGGTTCGATTCCGAGTGTGGGCATCTCGTTTTGCCACCTGTAGTCTCTGATCTGAAGGTGTTTGTTGCTTTTGGTGGGTTGGGTGGCTTTTTGGTGGTTCGGTGGGACGGGGAAGGGGAGGTGGGGCGTGGGTGGGTCGCTCGGACGGACTCGGTGGGATTGGCTGGGTTTTTGGTCGTCGAGGGGTTTGATGGGTGTGTGGTTGTGTGGTTGTGGGCGTTGGGGATGGATGGGAGGGAGGGAGGGAGGTGGAGAGAATGGGAGGTTGGGGATTCCAGGGATCGGATATAGTTTGTTTTTGTCTGCTGGTCTTGCATAACAGCCCGACTAGATCGGCAGAGAGCTTGATGCTGTGTGAAGAGCGTAGCCATAGGATTCGTGCAGAGGAAGAGGAAGGGAGAGAAGAGAAGCAGGAAATGCTCGGATGTAGGGAAAATAGGGCGGACACTGAGTTGCTGTCTACTTGCTTCCGACCAGCGCTATATTTACAACACGCAGGACAATTCAGACCTCTCCGCACTCCCCATTTGAGGGAGCGGCATGAGGAAGACGCGGAAAGTTCCTTTTTACCTATTTGGCGTGGGAGCGTTGGGCAAGAAAACGACGCCAACTCCATACACATGCACCTATTCATCGCTTTCTCGTTCACTACAAATTGACACCCGTCGTCCCCCACTCTCCCAGCGAACCTCTCAGAACCTCGACCGATTCTGCTGCGCCCTATACATCGTAAACCCGACATAACCCCCCGTCAAAACCAACCCAAACAGCACAAACTTCAAGAAGAACCAACCCCACCCGCCCCCGTTGCTCTTCCCCTTCTTCCCCCTACTCGGCTTCAACTTCTGTGGGTTATTCCTTCCCGCCCTCACATCCGCAGCACCGCTACTTCCCTTGCCACTCGGGGAGTAGAGATTCTTCGTGCTGACGGAGATAATGTCGTGGTTGTCTGAGAGCTCGCCCGTTTCGGCGGAGAAGCCGAGGTAGGCGACGGGGGGAATCTTGATGCCGTTGACCGAGAAGCATTCGACCCAGTCGGATTCGGACTTGTATTGGAGCTCGAGCTTGAGGAACTTTTCTTGAAAGTAGGTTAGGCGGGCTTTGGTGGGGATGTTGGCGTTACGGAGACCGCGGGCCTGGTAGGATGTTAGTTTCGGGATATACTTGACAGTGCCAGATTTGGGGGATGAGACGTACAGAGCATCCGGCCAACTCTTGCCCCTTGCCGTCCGTGGATTTGTCGTAGCTTGTCTGGCCATCTCCCATCATGGCCATGACGTACGGAAACACGACGCCGGGCCTGTTGTTCTTGTACGTATCGAAGAAGATGCCCAGACCCTCAAACTTGTCGGCGCTGCCGAAGACGGGACCCTGTTGTCCGCGCTGCTTGGTGAGCCACATGGCCATGCCGTCGCCGTACAGGTTACCTGAGCCGTGGATCTTGAACTCGACTTCGATCTGCGGCGTGTCAACCATGGCGTCCTGCTGTGCGGAGCTTGTGATCCCATACCTCCCAGTTTGTGGCCGTCAGAGGCACGCGCGAGAACAACCAGCCCTCGCGCGAGCCCTGGTCGCTGGTCAGACGGACGTACTTGTCGGTTCGGACGATGGTGTCGCCGCCAAAGTCGAACCAGCGGCTTTGCATGTCCGAATCGAGGTATGGCTAAAAGACTTTCGTGTCAGCGTTTGAACAACTGTCTTATGTACTCCACGCATATATCCACGCCATCGTCTTGACCACATTATGGCAAAGCGCAGCTCCCAAAGCTCGACGAAGCCTCACAGCTCGCAACCATGCGTCTTCATAACCCGCGCGATCGGAAGGAACAGGCGTGTACTAACAGTCTGCAGACTATGCGTCCTCAACTACAATTCCTCAAATTAGCATCAGTCACACTCTCCCACACGCATACCCCTCCCCCAGCATTTTGGGGAGCATTCCTCCACTAGCGCATACATACAGGTATACTCTTCACATCCTCGCTATCCTGCGCATTGGCGCCCGTTCCCAACAAGCTTCCCGCCAGGAAGCCCAGGCACATGCACGCCCGCGCGAGCAACATCGTGTCTAGACCCTAGTCCGCGCACACAAACGGGGGATGAGGGGGGCCACGAGCCCAGTGTCCGAGAGAAGAATTTGGGGCCCACGAGGAAGGGGATGGAATCCGGGTGGGACGCGAGGGTGTAGGTCGTGGTTGAGAATGTCCGGGAGAGATGACGACGGGATGGAAGGATTGTGATGTTGTGTGGGAGAGCACCGGCGTACTGTACGGTAAGCTCGTCGTCGTAGCTTCGCCGTTCCAAGAATCCGGGTGACTTAGGGGCTCTGTCAACCGCTTCGCTCGCTGTCCTGGCGCCGTAAAAGCAGCAACAGCAGCAGCAACAATCGTAGCAGAGAAAGGTAGGATCACAGGACGAACGGGTAAGACGGTGGTGGAGTTCAAGCTGGCCTCATCGGCGGTCCAGCTCGACTCTCTCCGCCCGCCGAACCGTCCGAGCTTCGAGACTTTCCAATCCATCATCATCATCATCGAATCTTTCTGATCGCAACAACAACCAACAACCACCACAACATCCACGACCGCTACCACTCCGACTCCGATTCAACCCGCGCCTCCAACCCCTCGTATCACAATCGCGCCCACGCAGAAATCAACAACCATGGACGCCACCGCCGGCCTTTTCGCACCCACCTCCTCGGACCCCAAGACCGCCGTCATGCAGCAAGTCAAGCAAGAATCCGCCATCGCGAACGCGCGGATGCTCGTCGAGGTATGCTTCACTCGCAGCATTTACCTCCCCACCATCCACCTCCCCACCACCCACACACTCATCCCGCACCCGCTCCCGCTCCCGCTCCCGCTTGCATTATCCCTCGCAGTATTCCTCGCGTTCCCAACGAACCCCCCACTGACCCCTCCCCACCCGTCCAGAAACTAAACGAGCACTGCTTCGCCGCCTGCGTCCCCAAACCCGGCACCTCGCTCTCGTCCGGCGAGCAGCAGTGCTTCAGCCACTGCATGGAAAAGTACATGCAAACCTGGAACACCGTGTCGCGGCAGTACATCACGAAGCTGCAGCAGCAGCAGGGCGGGCTGACGGGGGCGATGCTGTGAGAGGGAGGAGATGGATCAGAGGGGAGGGGTGGAAAGGATTGGGAAGGATATGGGGGAAGGGAGGGGGGTGTGGATGTGGGAGGGAGGACAGAGACGGAGGCTTGGGGACGGAAGACGGGATGAGCGGTTGGTGGACGGGATGCGTGGATTGGCATCATGAAAGAGGGGATGCGGCGGTGGAGGAATGGCGGAGGTCCTGTTTGTGGTGTGGCATACCGGGAAAGACGACATGGAAGGCCGCCGTACATTTGTTGCGTTGGGCTGAATCGCATAGACGGCGCAAGGGAAGCGTGCTGTAGAGGGACTTTGCGGCCTCCAGCTGGCTCCGCTCCTGGTAGTTTGGTATTGTATCACCGCTCCGCCTTGGCCCTGATGGAATCGCAGGAGGGAAGCGATGATAGATCTATGTCTGTATCTGCACACGTGAATATGGCCTCTAATTTCGTCTCCTCGTCTCCCGTCTCAAACGCCACTTTGCTTCCAAGCAGCACTGCTCGCACAGTGTGGGCTCCCCAAGATTATCATCCACTACCACCACCTCCCCCATCACCATCACCATCCCCGACCTACGACCTCGGCGCCGGTAACCCCTGCTGCCCGCCCTGCCCGAAACTCTTCTGCCTCTCCTTGTACTCCTTGACCAGCAAGCTGCACTCCGTCTCGGCACAAAGCCTCCTCCTCCGACTAACGGGCAACTTGTCGCCAAACTCCAACCCACTGGCCCTCTCGACCGCCTCGACGGGAACCTCGAACTCGGCCAGCGGCTTCGAATTGGGAATCTTGGCGTTGGGCAACACGAACGCGCCCACGGCCACATTCCCTCCCGTCTTCCCGTCCTCGGCGAAAATGACCTTGTAGAAGTGCGTGGGCACGGCGACGTTGGGCGGGCTGCCGACGACTTCGTACGAGACGCGCCATTTGCCGTCGGGGTCGCGCTTGGGGAGGTAGAGCGGCCCGGTGACGATGCGGACGCTGGGATACCGGTGGGTGAGGCGTCGACAGAAGTCCTCCAGGTGGGCCCAGTAGTCGCGGTTGAAGCCGTCGCCGACCTGGGGACACATGTTGGACAGCGCGAAGGTCGCGTTCATCGCGTCCTGGCTCCACTTGGCGTCGGCGGCGGGCACCTGGTGCCCGCGGTCGTAACCACTGCGGAAGTAGTCTTTCAGCTTGGCCCGGAACTTCTCGGGGATCGACTCGTCTTCGGCGAAGACGGAGTGTTTGCGGTCGCCGTTGTGGGTGGCGAGCGAGCCGGGTGTTATGTGCTCGGCGACCCAGTGCGGGTTGCGGGTGCGGCGGTCGTAGGAGGAGGTTAGGGAGGGCGCGGTGCGGAGGTCGGCGATGGGGCCCGGGAAGCCGTATTGGAAGAGGCCGTTGGGGTCGACGGGGGAGGTGGCTTTGAGGGCGGCGGTGGCGGCGAGGATGTCCTGGGACGCGGGTGTTGAGATGCCGGGGGTGGAAGAGGTTGTTGTTGGTGTTGGGACTGAGGACTCTTTGCGGGTGCCGTAGAAGGCGGCTGTGGCTGCGGAGCCGGCGGCAGCAGAGGCCGCGGCGATGATGGCGAAGGTGGTCTTCGACATGGTGGGTGTCGAGGGAGAGGTGGTGGCCTCTCTGTGACCTGGGTCGAGGGTGAGAGGTGGTCGAGGTTGCGGAGGAAGAGCACGGGGATTATTTGAGGTTTGGGGTCGGCTTGACGGCGGCGGGAAGGATCAGGCGGGCGCCGACGCGTGCGCGAAGTTGATCACGCTCAGGCACCGCTGGTCATGTGTCAATCCTTTCTCTACTTTTGCTCAGGTAAAGCTACTTGACCAGCCAGACTTCTCCATGCACAGAACCACATGTTTGATCAAGCCTTTCCGTTGGCTCTCGTAGCTTTCATCATTCAGTCCTCATAAAAAGCCGGGTCCTTT